TGTGTGTGTCATTAATGGCTTTTTATATATAAGATATAAATATACATATATATGTTTATGCTGCTTAAGTTAGGATAGACTCCACAGAGTTTCTCAAAGCTTCCCAATGACTGAATACGCAGATACCATCACCATTTGTCTTCATGCTGTATCTCAGAGTTTAGAATAGATACAGAACTGATTGCAGGAAAACGCTGTTTTTAGGCCAACTTCAACTCTTACACAGTTTAGAAGAAAAATAAAATACATTCAACTGATTAGCTATGTAACTATGTATCAGTATAAGGAACCTATATTTACAGTTTGTTCAATACTTCCCTCTCAACTTCCCTAAATTTCAAATATGTTTGGCTCCTAAGCTCTGTTACCAGTATCCTAAGCCTACACCCATATCAAGGAAATTGAACCTGCTTAGCAATGCACTGTGCATTTTTTCCCCACAGATATGCAGTAACTGTAAAATTAACACATGGTATCAGACTTCCTGTAATGTACACAGACATTAGCCATAACAGCTCACAGTTCTATACTGTAAGCAGTTTTCAATTTAAAAAAGTATTTTTCCTGTTAATAAGCTTTTAAGACTCATTTTAAAAAAGCAGTTCATCTTAAACATTGCATGTTTAGGTATTTGTATATGCAATGTATCCAATTCTTCCAGGATATATGTTCACAAACAAGATAATCTTTCCAGCCAGTCATCAGTACCGACAATTTTATCTAATGACATTGTATCACTCCACTTGCATTCATTCATTCAGAATGCCATTTAACTAATGCAGACTGCATGACCTAACTTCAGTAACTCCCATCATATTACTTAGAAGACGTTTTGTGATATATATTCACATGTATTTAAATACAACTCATTTCCATAATTTTACCTCTCATTTGATAGAACTCTAACTTTGCTTTATTTCCTAACAGGCCTCAGAGCTTCTTGAAGAAGATTTACTAATGAAATAACTGTGACTGATGTTTGGATCAAATTTCTCTTTTACCTTTGTTGTTGTGCCAGCAACCATCTGACAACTAATTAACAGTTCTGCTGTTCATGCTGCTACCCCTGTTATGTTCTCCACTGGGTTCTGTCTGAGTTATAAACTCTTTGGGACAGACTTTGTAACTTCCAGCATTAACAAGAGTTCTGGTTCATAGTGAAGTACTGATGAGACAACAATATGAAAAAATAATCGCAAATGTCTACCTTCCGGCCAGTTAATCGCTTTCCATAAAGTTTGCATTTGCTGTGCTGTAGGCATTTCTGCAGAGGTATTGCATGTTGCAGACAGTAACTTTTCTAGGATTATCAAGTCATCTTCTGTAAGTTTTTGTTCTTCAGCAGCATTGCTATTAAGTTCCTTTAGTTTACCTGTAGGACCAATTGAAGAGATGTAATTTTCAGCTCAACAAAACTCTTTACAAAAAACTGGATTTGCAATATTTTACTGAAGAAGTTACAACTGCTCTGATCATTTAGATCATTACTTCTCACAATTTCAGGTTTCTAATTTCAATCATCACAACAAATATTACCATCAAGCCTCCTTAATACTATAGTGCTGGTTCAGAACTCACATTTTAGCCTATGTGCAAGCAAAGATGGAGAAGAAATGAAAAAGATTTGAATAAAATAATTTTAATCTGCAGATGTTTGAACCAGGTACTGTGTTTTCCTACAGCGTGAATACAAACTGGTTTTACAAAACTCACAACTGCGTTAAGGCACTCTACAAGAACATACTGTAAAAAAAAGAGACAAGTAGAGATTCTGTGGAATTCTGAGATTATGTTACATTACAGAACAAGAATATGGATGGACAAACAGAAAAAGACAACAGCAATATTCATCAGAAGTGTGCATTACTACTAAACACTGTGTATCATTTTCTGTACCGCAAAATGTTCTGATTAAACACAGAAGAGACGACTCTATGAAACTACAGAACACCTTCAACATAGCGCAGATTACACTGTACTAGTGTCTACTGCTTTTAAA